TCGCAAACCCAAGCAGTGTGGGTTCATTTGCTTTATAATTTCGAACAATAGGGGAGTAAGCTTGGACAATTATGCCATGCTTTTTGCAGTATGCATCGATTACCGGCTGCTGGCACCATGGGTGAAGCTAATATACATCTTGTGAGTGCTCTGAATATCTCAAACAAACGAAAAGTGGTTGAACTCACCTCCAATTGATTTACTTGAGGTGGCCAAATTTTGGCATATGCCTTCATCTCTTCAATATGTTTGACACCATAATTGCTCACCCCTATGCTTCTTGTTTTCCCCTCAGCCAACAACCGTTCTAATGCAAGCCACATCTCCTTTCTCCCGGTAGCCCCGGAGCTGGCACTGTGAATCAAAAACAAGTCTGTATACCCATCTTCCCCGCTGAGAAGTCTCACACTTTCAAGAAGCTTCTCGTAAGTGGCTTCCGGTGAGCCTCCTGGGGTCATGATTTTGGAGGTGATGAAGAGGTCCTTTCGGTCTAACCCGCAGTTCCGCACAGCTTTGCCGACCTCCTCTTCATTTTTATAGAACTGTGCAGTATCGATGTGGCGGTATCCGGCGCGGATGGCGTTTAGGCAAGCTTGTTCGGCATCGTTCGAGCGGTAAACTCCATAGCCTAGGCGGGGTATTGTAACGTCGGAATTGGGGAGTGGTAGGACATCGGTGATGGAGTATTTAGCGACCATTTTGGTGAATTGGAAGTCGCGGTATTATGGATATATAGAATATCAACAATAAGTTGAAAAAAATATGTCAAGAGACGGTTTATCCAGACGATCAATTGAATGACGGAGGAGGGGTTCCCTTTTAAGAGGGATGGGTGCAACTTGGATGGCGTTAAAGATTTATGCGACCCGCCTGTGGAGTCTGTGACTAATTCCGAACGAAAGTCTGCTGCAATTGTATAAGTCAGCCAAGGGTTAAATCATGTTTGAATTTGAATCAGATTACGCGATCTGTCTGCTTGATAACGAAACGGATTTGATCGAGGTGGGATTGAGATAGGCTAATAGTTAACCGTCGGCTGCTTAGATATCCAAAAGGCGAAGCTATTCATGACGTCGTATTAAGGGAACCAACCTTCCTCCATCTATAAAAACCATTCATAATCATAACTTTATCATGTGCACACTTGATGGACTCCCGAGCTGTGCTTCCGTTCTTGCCATATTCTTGCCATAACTACTGCCAACAAAAAAAAATTTTTTTCATGCCAGGGCAACATGAACTCCGCGATGGCGTTCTGTGTGACATGGACAGGGTAACAAGCATTACTGAATCTCTTCCCGCAAGATGGTACCTGTGAAAATTATAGACATGGATGTTCCTGAGATTGTACCGAAGCTTCAGTTCTCAGAAGTGTAACTATTTATTTCATAGGCCGAAAGTAATTAACTACATAGATAGAGACTTTCAAAATCGGCTCCAGTCCTGGGCTTGCAAGAACAGAACGGGATAAGAAAAAATCTCTATGAAAAAGGACTGGTCGTAAAAGAAGACGAGCAAGAAATTGAGCAACCAATCCATGGGTTCAGGCGCAAGCTAAAAGATCGGGTACGACATGGCGATCTCCGCCTTGCTCTTCCCTCCCACCTCTTGCAGCTCAGAGAGCAAGCTGCCCCAAACAACCGGCTTGGCTGAGAGGCTAGAGAAATAATTATTACGATAACAGAAGAGTTTTTCGCGATCATGTCTAAAGCAATACCTTCGTTCCTTGGTGCTCGTGGTGAGTAATTCCCAGGCCGTCAATCATCTCCAGAGCTAACGATCTTGTCATTGAATTTGTCGCAGCATTCAATCATTCGCAGCACGAAGATTCGGAAGCGGAATATGATAGACTACGTGCAGCCGCAAGACGAGAAGCTGAAAAGCGCGGTTCTTGTTTCGAACGGGTGCGAATAAAGCCCTCCCCCTCTTGCAAATATCTCTCTGCTTGTCATCGCTTTACCCGAGAAGAAAAAGTTGAAGTTGATTGTTGCATCGTCTGACCGGTTACGTCTTTTTTTGGAATCATTAGTCTCGACGCGCATATGAAAGCGGAGATGGCCAATTAGCCAAAGAACTTTCTGAGCAGGGAAAGGCGCATGGCAGGAAGATGGAGGAGTTCAACAAGCAAGCGTCAGAATTTATCTTTCGCGAAAATAACGCCAATAATCGGGTCGCCGCTGATACTATAGACCTGCACGGTCAATACGTCGAGGAGGCAGAAGATATATTAGAAGAACGGATAAAAGCCGCCAGACGGCAAGGCCAAACTCATTTGCACGTGTAGGTGTTACTCCCTTGTTGCTATGTTTAAGTCTATACTTGAGTTTCTATCAAATTTTCTGCTCGGAATTGACATGTTTTTGATAGTATCGTTGGCAAAGGAAACCATTCGGCCAACCATGTGCAACGGCTAAAACCGCGCGTAGAGCAGGTGTGTCGTGATCTGGGCTTGCATTATACGACAGAGGACAATGCTGGGAGAATCTACGTAGATTTGACTGGCCGTCCTGCTAATGTGCCTGGCGGCTATCCACATCATCCTCCTACTCAACCGCATCACCCTCCACAGCACCATCATCCTCCACACCAACAGCCTCATGGTCAGCAACCTCAAAATGTTGGTGGAAGTCTTTTGGCAGCTCTTCTTGGGAAGCTCGAGAAGGCTTGCTGTCTTGTTATGTGAGAGCATTTATCTTCATTTTGGACTATTATACCAGGATACTTCATGATACCACATGTTCTGTTTTATAGTCGACTAACTTAGACGGATCAACGTTTTTAATGAATGAATGAACGGCACTGGTTAACTGCATGGATATCATCGTCATTATTCATAATTTATCTAGCAAATTTATGCTTTGAAACACATCCATCCTGAGAGTAATCGCGAATAAACATATCATCAATCCAAATTGAACACCGAGTATAAGAAACCAAGGAACGAAGGGTATATATAAGTTTGTTGTATATCGTTCAAAATAAGCAGAAACGGATTTAAAAAAAAGGACTTAGATAGATGATAAGTGATAGGGAAGGGAGGAAGGATACCCCTCCTCATATCCAATGCACATGAAAAGCCCGAATATTATTATGCTTTTCTAAAGCAATTTATCTTTCGCTCGGAGTCAATATGGGGTTGATGATGCGATTAAGAATCGCACGCACCACGTCTCCGCTTTCAACCCCACGAGTCCGATGGTGCCCTTCACTCCACCCTTCAATTCGGGCAATCGATCTTTCTAGCTCGTCAATCTGGCTCAGGGCTCTATCTCGGAACTGCACTGCCACCTTCCGCGTGTATTCAAAGCTCCCAGTACTCTCCATATGCTTGATCGCATACCGTTTGACTTCTTCGCTATTCGTCCGTTGTTTTAATATGTTCAGGAGCTGGAGATTGTCCGGCTGGGCCCGAATACTGTGTATTATGGGGAATGAAAATTTCCCTTCTGTTAAATCCTCGCAAAGGCCCTTGTTCTTGCTGTAGGTGGGATTGGAGAGGTTCAAATAATCGTCACAAACTTGGAACATCGCGCCCATCAGGTTAACCAAAGGGACGCAGTCACTGTAAAAACCGAATAAAGTTAGTCAATCAACACGCAGAAAGAAAGAAGAGCGTGAAGATGGCATTTTATACATACATCGCAACTTCGCTCTCGGCCTGCATAAGTTTGATAGCAAGTCTAAACAGTCCGCCGGTTTTATTCCCCACCATTTCTAGGTAATCATCTTCGGTGGGACACGTCAGAGTATCCCTCCAGAACAAATCCATGCCCTGGCCTCGGTGCAAATTTAACAGTTCGCTTGTAAAGATGTTGATGGCAGTTGAGCTTTTAAGCTTCTGGATCTCCTGTAGAGCTTGAAAGTAGACATAATTGGCCGAGTTTATGGTCTGTGGGACACCGAATAAGCTATGAGCGACCGGAACCCCCCTTCGAAGGTGTGAAGAATCTTCAACATCATCTATGCTGCATATGTTTTTGAAGTCGTTAGGAGGGCGATCCTAAATATGAAGATAGAACAAACGGTACGGTGGCTACTTACAGCAACGATGCGGTATGAAGCATCACTATAACCTTAGTGATAATAGCTAGACTATCATCGGGAACCCGCAGCCATATATTGAAAGCGGAAATCAGCTGGCCTCGAATGTCCTTCCCAGGTTGCTGAACCATATAGTCGTATGGGCCTAAGACGATCTTCTCTTTCTCTTGCGACCACATCGCCCCTTGATAGTTCCTGCTACGATCGATGGATGATCTGGTGCGCCCGTGGCCGTACTTGGGGTATTGGGCAGTGCTCGGTCGTTTGAAGGAAGAAGCAATCCATTCCTCCTCAGGGACAGGTCTTAGTACATAGGCAGCAGCATTCGCTCCATTAGTCACACCCGTCGAACTTGTCCGAGGAGGGATAGGATTTGGAGACGAAAGTGATTCAGGCATGACCAGGGAGGGAGGCTTGGATGTGCTCCACGGCTCGGCTTAGTAGCTACACGAGAGTGAGAGCGAGATCGAGCCACGAGCCTGTTTCACCACCATTAAGGCAGCAGCTAACTAACTATGCAGTTGGAATGAGACGTATCCCAAGGTCGGAGTATTAAATATGATCTAACAGTTTATTACTTGGAAGTTAGTTGATCAGTTCCTCAACAATCACATGCTGAGTGACCGTCAGGCAGCAAGTCACCCGATCGGAGGGAGGTGGGTGTTTGTCATGTTTGCCTTTTCTGTTTGCTGTGTTTGTGGTCTGACATCATCATGCTCACGTGCAAATCCTAGTTAGTGAACTAACCCTTGGCCCCTCCCTCTCTCCCCCTCCCTCGCTTCCATGTAACATTGAAACACATCAAGTTAGCTAATTGCAACTGTGTGGACTGTTAGGGGTAGATTTCCAACATGGTTCCTTGTTTGCAGGCTATTTTCACCCTCAGATACTCGAAAATAGTTCTATTTTCTGGTACGGCTTCAAAGGATTTTGGGGCCTCCCGACCCAAAGAATGAACTGGCCAACTGGCCCAATTGGTCAAGGCGCCTGCCTACGAAGCAGGAGATTGCAGGTTCGAGTCCTGCGTTGGTCATTTAATTATCTTTTTTTTTTCTTCCATCTACACAACCACGTGATATTGTTCTTGTTCTTCTTCTTTCTTAACCCAGAAGGGGAGATATATTGAACATCCTTCCCTTTTTTTTGGTGTGTGTAGAGAGAGATATTTATAGTCTAGCCTTGATCGGGTGGGACTTCTCGTGTTCACGTATATCTAAAATGACACCAATATGCAGGCCAATGCTAGTGGACTCCAGTCTACTCCACATTGTTTGTGGTCATGGAATCGCTAGTCATTCGTAGCAGGGGGTGTTTGTTTTCTGAGGAAAATAGAGGAATATTCGGTTCAGCCGCAAATTGCTCTCAGACGTTCGTTCAACAGGGTGCACGCAGCGTTGTTTAACGTGGTCGTTCCTGAATAGCACTGATCGGCTAGAGTGACAATGGTAGACCTTTCTGTTGGTGAAGTCTCTGGCTTTATCGCTGCAGGAATCCTGATTCGTAAGTCTCTCTGGATCTCTACGCGTTGAGTTATTGCTTCGAAACTCCAATTGACAGAGGTTGTCTCTAGTCCAACTCATCTTGCCTCTGGCCCTATCTGCTGGACTGATAGCTTTCATCACAAGTGAAAATTCTGTAGCAAGCTGGTGAGGAATTGGCTTGACAGAGCAGCCCCTAACCCATGATAGTTATTTTGTTTTTTGTACTAATTTGTCAAAAGGACGATCTTGAGCCGTTATCTACAATCCACACACTGGCCACTATTGTTAAATTCCGATTCAAAGTCCACTGCTGGCACAAAGAAACGTCTCACATTTGCAACATGGCTTCCGGTAATCGTATTGATTTTGGTCTCATGTGCCTCAATTGTCACGCCACTAGGGCTGTACGACGAGATTGAGCCCGGAGCGAACACAATAGAGCACCCATTCAGCTATATCAAGGATACCTCTGCCTTTGGTTATGGCACACCGCCTAGGTCTGATGCACCTTTTACTAGAAATTGCGGAAAAGACGCATGTCCGGGTGCCTGGGCCCACGAGACATGTCACAAGCAAGGGCTTCTCGAGAACTGTACCAAGCAATACGACAATTCCATACCAACAGGATATATTAATTATTTTAAGGAGGGCGCTCACAAGATGTCTCCGACCGTCTCTAGCATCTTTGATATTGAATGGAGAACCTATGTCAATGCCACTGATGGTTTAAACCTCGTGGGTTGGTATTTACGTTCTGCATTCCGACAGCTTTCTCTACTAGTATTAGAAGACAAGATCGCCCTCGTGGAAGGCCTTGTTGTCGATATGAAATCAGGAGGTATAGGGTTTCGGAACCACACAGGCCCTACGACTAGTCCCAAATACGGGGCTACTTGGACGGAAGATATCTTATTCGTTGAACCTGAGAGTCGCTGCGTCGATACCAAACTTACTCTTGATTTCAAACTCCCTGGCGATGATACATCTTGGGATTATGTGGAAGACCTCGTACTGACAGATCGCGGAGGCTTTTCATCTCTCGATCCCGTCGCTCCCGACCTTGACCCGCATCCTGATAGACCAGACAGTTTTGGACTGGACCTGGGATGGCGGGCGATTAAAGCCGCCTGGGTAAACAACTTCCTTACGATGGTGTATTTTAATGTCACAGACAAGGATCCTGGAAATATTACTCGAATTGATTCCAAATATGGCAGAACATTCCCTCTACCAAGTGGTCTCAATAGCACCTCGTTTCGCGTTGGATTTTCAAGCATAAAATCTAGCCTCGATTTTGGAGAGTACCTAAATCTTACTGCCCGAGCGAATCTTAACAACTTGCGTGATGATAATATAAATCCGTTTAATATCTCATCGGACGACTTTTTAACTATATGTAGGTATCACTATTCCGATTTTTTGGTTTTTTAAACTGACAGAAGTGTGACCAGATGACGCTTGTGGTGGAGCCACGGGCACCAGCCCTGCCAATATAAACAGTACTCTGGTCGGGTGTGCTCTTCTTTATGGCGCAGCGAATCGCACGGATGGGAAATCCTCCCTCTTAATGGACCCACGATCCCCATGGTCCGTCCCTATTTACAGTTGCGCGTCAACTGTTAAAGCCACAATTAAAACAGTGACGTTCGTCCACAATGGAACAAATTTTGATGCCCTAAAGGTTGTCAAGGCAGAGCCCAGATATTACTCCCATCACCAAGTCCTACCCGTATGGGGAGTGGAAGATATGAAGTCATTTACTATTGAAGATGCCAACCCCGGATGGGGTGTACTAGGTTTATCAAATTCTACGAACGAAAAGCAGCCTTATAATATTACCACAGTCACCAAAGCTGAACTATATTTACCAGGATATCTGGATGCCTTCTCAATAGTAAACGAGGGCGGTGGGCCTGTCGATCTCAACACTGGCCAAAACCTTCCGGGGGTAGATTTCTATACCCCGGCCTTATACAGTGCGCTCAACATCCGCTCGCCCTCTCGCGTAGGGTTCCAGAGAATTGGAGATTATTCAGGTCAAAGCAGTTTAGCACTCTATGCAAAATGGCAGAATCTCTCCACAACCGCCGACGGGGCTGCTAAGATTCTCAATCTTGTCTGGACAGACATTGCGGCCAATGCAGTTGTCGGAACCAAAGGGTGGGGATTGTCTCCCCCCAAACCTATGGACATGCCGAAACCGAACCAATCTGTGAAACGCGCGGATAATGAAGAGACTGGTCCACTAGCGCCACCGCCATCAACGGTACCAATCATTGCGTACAAACGAACCATCCAATACAAATACTACTTCGCTATCCCAGCGTTTATCGTTGCACTGACCTCTTTCGTTATAATTCTAACTCTTCTTGTACTAGTTTTTATGGGTAGAACTGGACCGAAAAAGATCCGGAATTTCCTGGAAATAACTACGTTTGGCAGAGTTATTGGACTTGCATTGTGGCCCGAGGCTGTTCATGAGGATAGTCCAAAGAAGGACTGGCTTGTCAATATCCGCGCTAAACGTGTTCTTATCACAAGAGAGAAACTTAGCGGAGTTCGGGATAGCCTGATTGCAACACCTGGGCCTAACAAAGCAGCAAGTGAAAATGGTGAAGAAGGTGAAAGTAACGAGAGCTAGAACTCGATTTTAACTAGACTGATAATGGACGTTGCACAATTCATATTCTAACATTTCAACGTTATGTATAACATCACCCCCCGAAAAGATCATCTGATAACTACAACTAAATCATTGCCAACCCAAAAACACCCATTGCTATACCGGCCATTCCACCTATAACTCCATTCAAGCCTGGGGCTACGTTCGTGCTAGTGGCGGTTGTCGATTCGACAGATTCAGAAGTCTCTTCAGCAGACGGTGTAGGAGCGGCTGTTCTGCCTGTGGTTGGAAAAACAATGCCAGTCTCTGAGGCGCTCGTTGTCTTCCCGGTTGATACTGACCCTGGGAACGTAGAAACTGGTTTCGCACCCTATATCCGAAGCGAGAAAATAGTATGATTAGTCGAAAATTGCCAGAATACGATACGGCTCGGAGGAAGTCAAAGAGAGGAAACAACACGTACTACTATATCGCAACAATCATCCCCCTCGCAAATAGTCCCTTCATCGCAACAGGTTTGAAGGGTATGGTTGTAACATAATTGATATGGGAACTCGCCCGAGCAATAGTGGATATCTTTGCCACCACGCTGACAGCAGTCCTCTCCGCTATCCTTTCGCGTACAGGTCCAGGAGGTGCCAGATGGAGATTCCGCGGATGGCGTGGTTGATGCTTTGGTAGGAGTCCCGTCCTTTCCAGTTTCTCCCGGGCCCTAGTGTAGAGGATGAGAATGGGTAAATTCAGATATTCATTTTCTTCTATTTTTCTGCTGATTGCCTGGTCTCCATCAGGCGGGTATTATATAACTCACATATGGATCGCAGCAGCTATTATCCTTTGCGACGCAAAAAGCTAAGAAAAAAATTGTTCAGCCAACATATTGCTCGAAGGCAGGTTGAATAGCCCAGAACATACATCCGTTCGCACAACAGTGCTGTTTTTTCTTTGGATTGAAGCATCCTTGCCCAGAACACATCACCCAATCCTCTCCAAAGCATTCACCACAAGTATTAGATGACGAACATTCTTGCCGTTTGTTTAAATCAGTATTATGGCTACCGACCATCTGCCTAAACAGGGGCACATCTCGTGCCAATGCAGCTGTTCCGCAGGTATTCAAGAGAAATGCCGCAAAGGAAAGACAAGAGACAGTCGCGAGGTGCATTTTCAACAAATAGAACGAGATATTTAGAATAAAATCTAAGGTGGATTAGGATTATCAACCGCTCTCAACAATAAACCATGAATTGAACGCCATCTTTTTTTTTTCTTGGCCATTGGTTTCATGCTCCTTATGTCTGTTTATCTTGCAAAAGGGTTTGGAGGCTGAAGATGTCAACCCCGTATTCTCTGGGCCTTGTTTAATTAGGAGAGGGTCAGTCTCGTATTTGCGGATCCTAGGGTGGTATGGCCGAGGCATCAATAGCACTAACATTTTTCCCTGTTGATGCTATTTTCTGCCTGAATGAAAATCGGGCCGGCTGGAGAGATGTGGGTATAAAAATGACTGGAATTCAATGGATCAATAAAGGTGGGAGTTCAAATCTCCCTGGATAAAGATAATCATGGTACTTTAGGATTTCCGGCTTTCGTACGCTTCCTAGCTCCCGAGTAGGAATCTAGCTAGGCAGCAAATTTTTCGACTGACTATTCGTCATACACTCTTGTTTTCTTTTCATTGTTGATCCGGCTGTCATGCGCCCAACAGCACAATGTTTAGTGGTATCTCGGGTCAAGCTTTTGAGAAGCGGAACAATCCCAAGGAAAGGTCAACTTTATTTCCACAAGCGAAGGAAGCTTATCTTAATACACTTGGGTGCGAGAGATTCGAGCATCAGGTCAAAAGAAAAAGATAGTTAACGGAGTTCAGCGGTGACTATTTATAGTATAATGAATGCTTGCAAATAGTATGCGCAGAAAGAAAAATAA